TTTATATTGGTTTTACATTAAAGCACAGCTTCAATTGACCGCATCACTTAGGTACGGGAGGCCTTTCCAATAAGAAAGTAAATTTTATTCAGGAAATATCTGGCTAAACAATAATGATAAATAATAATATTAATTTTGAGCCCGATTTTGTAACTTTTTTCCGGGGACCTTCTTGATAATGAGCTTAAAGCCATGTTACACTGAAACAGGTATCAACTTTCCGTATAGTTTTAATGTCTAGAAAAACGTAGTAATGGTTCTCATCAACAAAGGGTTTACATTCCAATGCGGGATAATATGCAAGTTTTGTTATTTGTAAAATGATAAAATATTAAATTTCAGATCTATCTAGGCTAAAGGAGATCGATTTTTTCTTTATAGAAATTTTAATTTATATGGCACTAGACATACTTAAGAAAATTTAACTAATAAAGTTGAAGGCCTAAAAGTTGCCTATAATGAGGCCGGATTCATTCTCTATTTTAGCCAGTGCTTTTCAGTGCTTTGATCAAGAGTTAAAGAGAAATCTCTGGAATAAGGACAATTCTGTGTGTGCGTTTGAGTTTTAACTTAAATATCAAGTTCATTTTTATTGTATAAAAAGGTATTCGGAATTGTTTTTTTCCTTTGCCGGGGGGTCAGATAAACCAAAAGGTGACCTTTGAAATAGGGACCCATTTTACAACTGGGGATTTGGAGGAAATAAATTTTTTTCTTTACCTAGATATCAATGAAATTTTTTAACGCATTAAAAAAGTTTATCATAATATTTAAGAATTACACGAAAGTGTCAAATTAAACATAGAATATTTGTAAAATTTGTTATTTCAGGTTTCCAACTCCGTACGTTTTAGCTAAAATTCATGCAATTGTAATGGAGAGAAAAAACAAAATGACTACAACAATGGTTAATGCTTTAAATATATTGAAGATCCGCCCTTTTGAAAAGATTTTTCTCAATCAAGAACCCATATTTGAACAACCCAAAGAAATTTAACAAACACAACCCCATAAATTTTTGCTTTTAAAATTTTATGGATTGTTTGGTATAATTTCCACCTAATCTCGGCACTTTCGTTTGCTGGGCCAGATACAAAAAAAATTCTCCGGGTTTTCGGGCTTTTTTAGTCATGCCGAGAAATATCACGGGTGACACCGTTGTTTTTATTCAGATTTGCAAAAACCTGAAAGGTGTTTAAAACGCTTTTTCCCACAAAGTTGGAGAAAATATGTTATTTCGAAACGACTTGCCAATCCAAAGAAGCACATATCAATGTAGTCACTGATTCTGTTTGAAATGTCCTTAACACGGGCAGGGTTAAAAAAATTTATCGGTTTGTGAATTTTAATTTTTTTTTGTTGAATGCCCATTCGGCCGTCGTACCCAGTGGAAGCTACCTTTAATTGACTTCAAAAAGCTTCTCGCCCAATTTTACTGAAGAATTCCTTTTTGACCCAAAGTCTTCATATTTGGGGCAATGCAGGGTTAGCCATGACGAATAGATGACGCCTATTGATTATGAGGGTCACCAGGTCAAAGGTTAAGGTCACAATTACCATGTCTTCAAAAGCTTGTCCGCCCAATAAACTTCAGATTCATTTTGATCCCACAGTCTTCATATTTGGCAAGGAGGTTATTCATTGATTAAAGTAAATGATCCCTATTGATTTTGAGGTCACCAGGTCAAAGGTCAATGTCAAAGGGGGACTTGACTCAAAAAGGCTGTCCGCCCAATAACCTAAGATACCTTTGACCAACAGTCTTCATATTTGGAAGGGCGGTTTTTCATGATTAGGTAAATTTGATTCCCTATTTATTTTGAGGTCACCAGGTCAAAGGGAAGGGTCAACATTCTTGACTTCAAAAATGCTTGGTCCGTCCAAAATTTTTTAGATTTCTTTGACCCACAGTCTTTCATTTTTGGGCCCTTGAAATGTTAGTCTTTTTTGTTGATGTTTAGAATTGACCCCGTATTTGAAATTTGAGGGTCACGTTCAGGTTTCAAGGGTCGGGTCAAACAGGGCGGCCCTTTGAATTCAAAAAGCGGTGGTTTTTCAAATATTAACTTAAAGATTTCCTTTGGACCCCATCGGGTCTTTCATTTTTTGGGTCACCGGAGGTTAGTCATGGAGGATCTTTGATTGTACCCCTTATTGATTTTTGAGGTTCATACCGGTCAAAGGTCAAGGTCACAGGGACTTTGACTTTAAAAAAAATTTTTGTCAGCCCAATATTTTAAGAATTCTTTTGACCCACAATCATCATATTTGGCATGGAGGTTAGTCCATGATTAGTAGATGACCCTATTGATTTTTTGGGACACTGAGTCAAAGGTTAAGGTCACAAGGGGCCTTGACTTCAAAAAGGGCTTGTCCGCCCAATTACTTCAGATTCTTTTACCCACAGTCTTTATATTTGGGCATGGAGGGTATGTCATTATTACCCCTTTTGATTTTGAGGGTACTGGGTCAAAGGTCAACTAAAAAAAATTTTGACCCTCAATTGGGGCTTTAAGAATACCTGTCCACAGTGTATTGATTTTGACATTTTTTCAATTTGAAGCATGTAGAATACATAACTTAGAATTGGTACTGGCTTAGGTTTGGCAGGGACGTTTGTCCTTGAGCTCTAAAATGGGCCCACTGTTGATTCTGACAAAGTGGTATGCGGGGCTATTTTGACGCCATGACAGTGGGCAAGTTCTAAGTTGGTAAAACTGAATTATATTCAAGATAAAATAGGTCCGAAAAATGCTAATGAAATTTTGAAATAAATGTGAGGCAAAGGTGTTACATCTCTAGGCCTTTATTTTCCATTTAAAATGTAAAAATAAAAAGCAACATAAAAAAAAAAGGGTAATACTGGACAAGGGTACCTAACTTTGTTCTGTCAAAGTTTGCACTCTTCAGTAGATATCAGAAATTTTCATTTGCATTTGTTAAAAAGTTGGCGGATTTGAGGCCGGGGAACTTGCCTATGAAACAAGTAGGGGGGCATTTATGTTTGTGATAAAATGCCCCTTTGAAAATACTCAAAAATGGGGTATTTTCATGGTTTTATTTTTTCTGTCGGATGTTTGGGATGAAGTAATTTCCCCTTTGTTATCTTAGTGGAGGGGAAACTTGGTACTTTTTGCTGTAATTGATAACACAAATATATAGTCAACTTAGTTTTTCGCTCCGAACCTGGAGGGACAGTTCAAATTTGTTCGAGAGGATCGGTAGTTAGAGGCCAACCGCGGGTGAGTTTTTATCATGCATCGTACTTTTTTAAGACATAGGTGTGGAATTATCCTGGTTAATATACTTATTTTATTAAATGGTATAAAAATGATACAAATTACTTAGGCCTTTAGGTAAGGGAAGCAATGCCTATATATTGTCTGCTTAAGAAAGGTGGTTGCTTAAAACATTGTGAAACTAAGAGCAACGTGTACGTTTTGGGAGACCATTTTTGTTTTTTTTGGTTTTTAAGCCATTATACTGCTGAATATCAGTGGCCGCTGGTTCAATTTTTTACTGTAGATGATAGTTCCTAATCAACTATTTTATCCTTTGCAGGCACTTAAGACCAACCGGTTTTTTCCACATGTTTGGGGTGGGGCAAAAAGGGATGGATCGTTACTGCATTTCGTAATGGATTAACAAATTTATTTGAATGATAATAAACGCCAAAAAACGTGGCCGTGATTGAGCGCAAGTAACACACTGCAATAACCAAAAGTTATCAAAGAGTTTTTGACATTCTTCAGAGTTATCACAAAGAACTCCAGAAACATTTGAAAAATCGGAATATAAATAAGTTAAACCGGTGCTTTATGTTTTGCAAATTTTGCACTAATAATTAGGGGTTATTTAATGGTTTGGGGCAAGGATGAGAACCAGAAATAAACGGTCAAAAACTTGTTTTGAATTGACAAGTAATTTTGGAAATTTTACTCAAAACCTACTAGAGGGCTCGGGTCACTTTCGTTGTGATTATCATGAAATCCTTTCTACGGTAATTCGCACTGTACCTCTGCTCTGGCATGTACAGAAGTTTCAGTTCCTTGCAAAAAAGTAAAGGCAAACTATACTGGTAAACTGGCTTGGGGCAGCCTGCCCAGGAAGCGATGCGGTGGTTTGAACTGTGCTCTGACGAATTCAATGTGGCTTACTGCGCGATCCGGAGTGTCAAACTAACCAAAAACCAATGATAAATTTTTAAACAGCGGCTAGGGTAAAAATTGAAATAATTAGAGATGTTTTTTACTATCTCTGTATTTAATTCTATAATTATTAACTTCATCTGACCCACATAAATATCTATAATCTATCGGTAACATTCCATTTATAAAAAAGTAGGACAGTCTTATATCTAAGGCAGTTTATGTTATTCATTGATTATTATTAGTCAATGACCATTATAATAGTCAGTCCTCAATTTGACATTGAATGAGCATAATTTACTTTAGATTTCTTTTTAATACTATCTAATGAAAAAAAATATTTTAGATATTCTACTTCATTTTTACATTATTTGCATTTTCTATCCGATCGCCAATGTAGAGATACATATTTGTATATATATTTTAGAATGGTATTTCAAAAAAGGCTTTTGATTTCATTCACCCACAATTTACCTTTTTGAAGAAGCAGAAAAAAACGACGGTAAGTTTTTAATTGCTACTTGTAATCCACATTTTATTTATAATGTTTCCGTTTGAATGTTTAGACCTTAGGGATATATATCGAATTGCCTCTTTATATCTAAAATCTTCTCTGGTTATATGTTTGAAGGTCACTATCAAAGTTATTAATTAATTACATAATGTATCAATATACGGGTATATTGATAATAAATAATTGTTCATTGCAGTAACTCGAAATACATATATATTACCCGTTCTTTATTTGTATACATTGCTTCTTTTCCCTCGGTCCCGTTTTTGTGCAATGTTACGTTTTTAATAGTGATGTCGTTTTAACTGTGAAAACTAAGTCATTATTTATTTTTTCAGGTTGGCACTCTTTTGCAAAACACACAGAAGTGAACACAAGTGATTTGATATCGAATATGACAGAATCACTACGTATAGTTGCAGAAAGTTTCACGAAGAAGAACGAGAATAAAGATCAACAATACAATGGCAACGTTCACAGGACGCAGACCTCCGAAACACCCAATACACCACAGCAGAGCACCCTGAACACTTATGTGAGTATTTTAATAGTACTCATATAAATAGGATTTGGCGTTTTCTGGACATTTATGCTGAACAGTAATGTACGTTGTTCTTAATATCAACAGTTGATATTCGTCCAATAAGAAATTATTACACTACAAGTTCTTTGTTTATCTTAAACATAGCAGTTATGTATTCACCCATGTATATTGCCTTTACGCACTTCCAAATGAAGAAGGACGTCTTTTTGAATTCATGACTTAATCATTACCAGAAACAGAAATTCTGGTCTGTTTTATCTACTGTGACTGCATTATTCGATCAGCTGTTCTATTTACTAGTTGGTTGATATTTATTAGTGTGTGATAATGGACGTCAATTATCTTACAACGTTTCTTAAAAAGATAAAGCTACCTGATAATTTTCAATGCACAGCGATATACCTGAAATAGCTTCTTTTGCATCTCCAAATAGCTTGAGTTTCAGATACGAAACTTCACGATGTTTGACATATTTTTCTTGTAATTAACTGTGCAATAACAAGAATCCCAAAATTCAGCCCATTTTCTTTTTCGCCCGAATATTGTCTATATTAGTAGTGAAGGGGCGACTATGGCACAATTTCATAAAATCTGGGAACTATGACACAAATTTGGGAAACTTATTGCACAGTTTTGAAAACTTATGGGCTCAAACGTATGGGTCTTTAATAGATGGATAGGGAACTTATGGGCCTTTAATTATCGGATAGGGAACACTTTAACCCTTTTATATGTTAACAATATAATGAGAGTACTGTGTTCTAAAAATAACCTTTTGTTTATCCTGTGCTGACATGTATATATTGATCAGTCTACACTTCACTTCAAGTCACGCTCCGCAAATTTAAATTCTTTGAATCGTGTGAACTTTCCATATTAATATATTTTTACGTAGTTCCAATATCAATAAATATAACGATGCGTTTATATTTATATACGTTACTAAACTCCTTTAAAACACATACATTAATGGACAGTTTTTTTAGCTCATCTGAGCTTGCTCAGGATGAGCTTTTAGGATCGTTGAATGTCCGTCGTCTGTCGTCCGTCCACACTTGTTCGTTAACATTCTAGCGGTTACATTTTTCGAACATGAGTTCGAACATGGGTTATCGCGGATGAAAAACTAGGTCACCGGAGCTTAAAATAGAAAATCCTTGTTAACACTCTAGTGGTCACATTTTTGCCTCAATCATCATCAAATTTTGTCAGTATGCTTTTCCAGGTAATAGCTCGGATGAGTTCAAACATGGGTCATCTCGGATGAAAAACTTGGTCACATACTAGTAAGCTAAAATAGAAAAACCTTGTTAATACTCTAGAGGTCATATTTATTTTGCCTCAATCATCATCAAACTTTGTCAGGATGCTTGTCTAGCTGATAGCTCAAATAAATTTGAACATGGATCATCTCGGATGAAAAACTAGGTCAAGGAGCTAAAAATAGAAATACCTTGTTAACACTCTAGTTGTCACATTTTTGGATCAATCATCATCAAACTTGGTCAGGATGCTTGCCTAGGTAATTGCTTGGATGAGTTCGAACATGGGTCATCTTGGATAAAAAAAACTAGGTCACATGAGCTAAAAATAGAAAACCTTGTAAACACTCTAATGGTCAATTTTTTTATTCAATTGTCATCAAACTTGGTCAGGATGCTTGCCCAGGTAATTGCTCGTATTAGTTCGAACATTGGTCATCTCGCATGAAAAACCAGGTCACCGGAGCTAAAAATAGAAAAATCTTGTTAACACTCTAGTGGCTACTGTTTTGATCCAAGTATCCTGGAAATTGGTCTGTAAGTTTGTTTTGATGATTTCAAGGTCAAGTTCGAATATGGGTCACCTGGGAAAAAAAACTAGGACACACTGCTCAAATATGGATACTCCTTGATTACACTCTAGTGTTTACCCTTTTGACTCACCTGTCATGAAACTTGATCAGAATGCTTGTCTAGGTAATTGTTCGGATGTGTCTGATGAGCGATCTAGGGCCATCAGACCCTCTTGTTTATATTTTTGATAAAATATTTTAATTTTTATAAACATAACTTATTTTTCATAAATATTTTATTTTATTAAACTTAACAATTTAACTATATATATATATATTATTAAACTTTACAAATAAACACAATGTATATTAATTATTGAACATATTTAGTTTTTTTACATTAACATATTTTCACATTTTTGACAAAGTCTTAGTAGTTTTGATACTATAGTTGACTATTTATTGTTTTATATTGTCTATATCGTATACTAAGAAGTAGACAAATTTAAATAAGAAAAAAATACGACTTATAACAAATTCTTTCTTTATTTCAATTCACATAAACATAACATACATTATGTACACATGAATTAAAGTATCATACACTTTTAACTGAAAGGTTTTTCCCTCAACTTCTATCAATGAAAAGACGTGATTTCGTCCAGTGAACAAATATCTCATTAACTGCTTTTAATATGCAAATGTAAGTTTTATTCATATAGATCTACTTAATTAATAACTGTATTACATAAGCCGGAGTAATTTTAGTTAATATCATCAAGCTCTTGTTTCTGCTGCATTGTATGTCATTCCATGATTCCGTTTTTGCTGTTGCTTTCTTGTTGTTGTTGTTGTTGTTGTTTCTGTACTTTTTTCATCTTCCGTGTAGATCAGGAATGTTATGACTCCCAAACACTTTATCAAAACTAAAGCGTCGTTTTAGAATAGCGTATTTCGTGGCTTCCGTCGGCTGATAATCCTTGTCAAAATAGCCATTTTTTTATTGAAACACAAATGTCCGCCATTTTGTATTATTTATTGTTTTGACGTGACGTCACAATTGTGGCGTTCTATCCGGTTTGCGCGTTGTGTATTTATATAAAATGAAATTGGAAATAAAAAAAGAAGCAAGAAAAATTTGATTTCGAAAGAAGCTTCATATATTGTCAGAAAGCTTATTTTCAGCAAGTCTCCTTGTTGGTGAGCAGGTCCAGTGAAGGAACCGAATAAAGCAGCAAGTCTAGAAAACGTTCGGCTTTCTAGTGAAGAGTTGAGCCTTAGCAACGGTCCGCTTCCCAGAAAAGAAGCAAGTCTTAGAACGGTCCGCTTCCCAGAAAAGAAGCAAGTCTAAGAACGGTCCGCTTCCAAGAAAAGAAGCAAGTCTTAGAACGGTCCGCTTCCCAGAAAAGAAGCAAGTCGAAGGAGCGCAGCAAGTCCAATAAGCGAAGCAAGTCTAAGGAGCACTTCAAGTCCAATAAGCGCAGCAAGTCAAAGAAGCGCATCAAGTCTAAGGAGCGCAGCAAGTCCAAGAAGCGCAGCAAGTCAAATAGTGCAGCAAGTCTAATAGTGCAGCAAGTCCAAGAAGCGCAGCAAGTCCAAGAAGCGCAGCAAGTCTAATAGTGCAGCAAGTCCAAGAAGCACAGCAAGTCTAAGGAGCGCAGCAAGTCCAAGAAGCGCAGCAAGTATAATAGTGCAGCAAGTCTTCGGAGCGCATCAATTTTAGGAAGAATAGCTAGTCCAATAGTGCAGCAAGTCTAAGGAGTGCAACAAGTCTAAGAAGCACAACAAGTCTAAGGAGTGCAGCAAGTCCAAAAGCGCAGCAAGTCTAAGAAGCGTAGCTAGTCCAAAAGTGCAGCAAGTCCAATAGTGCAGAAAGTCCAATACTGCAGCAAGTCCAATACTGCAGTAAGTCTTAGCAGTGCAGCAAGTCCAGGAGTACAGCGATTCTTAACTTATTATCACAAATACCGCTCAGAATATCGATAAAAATCTCATAAGTAAAACCAAAACTTGACAATCCTCTTGATCAATTAGTTGATTTACAGTCTGATTAATGGATTTTTAGAGTGGATCTAGCTGCATTGCATCAAACCAAATCAATTTTGTACTGAAAACATTCATCTCATCAAGGCTTTCCTGTAAGAGTTTTTCATATCATCAAAAACCTCTTCCATGGCTTCTTTTTCACCGAGGTCAGAATCTTCCTCCATAAGCTCACGCACTTTGTTTTCGAATTCCGACTGACACTCTTGAAAGGCTTCTTCTACAATATCTTGCGACAGATCAATGTTTGTCGCTTCAGCTGTGACTGGCGTGTTAACATCGTCCTCATCAGACTCATTTTCATCGATATGTCCATATATATCTTATTTCAGAAATCAGACATTGTATCTTCATCAGAATTATCATAGAAATGCATATTTTTTTATGTCGAAGCATATTTTCTTTCTTCCGAAACTTTTGAAACATATATCGCAGTCAGACATTGTCAGACAACGTCTTTAGAGGGAATGAGGAGTGTGTTCAAAGAGTCCTCATATTTACTCCTGTCCCAAAGATACGATATTTTCAAGTGGCTTTGTCTCTGATGTGTGTTTCGATTCTTTTTCTATAGAGATTTTCTTTCTTCTAATTTTTTACTGTCATTATGCCTTCCTCCCGATTGTTCACTTGACAACTTGTGCTTCTTTCCTGTACTGACTTCTTTCATCCTTCGTAATTCTAAATCGATTAAAATCGTTTAGGTTTTAACTGACGTGCATACATACTTTTGGCTATAGCTCATGTTTGTTCTGTCGGTAGAATCATGTTTTTCTGCCGGTAGAATCATACGAATATACTCTTAGAATTGGGGAAATTTGTCAAGTCTAGAAATATCCCTTTTGAACTTTCTACTCCTCTTATCTAATAAATCGAAATATTCATGTTCCTTAACGGCAGGTCTCTACGGCTCGGAACCTTATCATGTAATAACTCTTCTGGTTATATACATGTATATTTTTTATTGCTTCAAATGTAGATCTCATATTTGTATTCCCACTGATATTTTACTTTAATAGTAAGCTTATTAATGTAACATTTATGAATTGAATAATTAACAAGCAATATTTTTGTTTGCGTTTACTAAGTCAACCTCATTATTTGTGATAAATGACTGTGAGGAGTGACGGGGAGTGAAGAGGAGTGACAATGGTATAAAAGACAAATAATGATGTTG